CATTTGCACCCAGGAGTTATTCTTTACAGACTTGGAGCCGACACGGAAAATGCTTAACAAAGTTTCAGAATCTTAATCAACTAAGAATCGAAGGCAGCAACTGTGTACGCGTCAGGGTCACAGGATACATAACCGTCGTAGTTAAGAATCTGGGCAGCACATCCTGGGTACAGCTGAATACAAGATTGGTTACGCAGTCATAAGTTGCTGACTGATGGAAAAGGCGGGAAAATGGAGCTCCGTAGGCGTTCAGGGGCACTGAAGGGGTGGGCACGAAAACGCTATGTGTTGGCCAGTATCCTGCAAAAATGCATCCCTCTGCAGTCATAAGGTTGATTTTGGAAAGAAAAACACGTGCCCAGTGTAAAAACAGACCTGCAATCCCACTTCTCCTCATTAATACTACTGCACATAAAATAACAAGCCCCGACATGCGACGTACTGACCTCAACGCCCTTATGTTTTGAGGCAGTTTTAATTAAGTATACGTATCTGGTTCACATTTGTCCTACGAATTCCAAAAGGCCCCTGGTATGCTTCGCAGCTTCCCCTTCAGAAGCGATGCGGGGGGAGAGATAATAGATGAAGAGTAGGAGCAACTGCGTGTGTTCGCTACACGAACTTGCGCACAACTCATTCATGCGGGTTAACAGATATTCTGCGGTAATGCGTGCTACCATTGGTATAATTTCACTCTGTTTGTACGCATCTGTGGAAATCACTGTGCATACTGCTACCTTGTAGGCATCGCCAGCAGTGGAGCTGGATGAGGCCTAGAGACGCCACACAAGCCCGTGCCTGCATTGCTCTGGCACTTGAAAGTGCGTATACATCATCGTCATACCGGAAAACAAGCAGTTTCAGATTTTTTTGTTAGGATGAGGGTCACCCCGACCCTGCAGGCCTGCAGGCATAGGCGTCTTCGCCATGTGTAACAGACAAAAACCTCATCGACCTCGGCAAATTCCCACGCGTGTCTACAACCCAGGCTCAGTTCTTAAATGAGCCTTTAAATGGCATATGAATCGCCCATTTTCGAAACGGAACGGTATGTTCGTGCCTATCAGGCGCCCAAGTGAGAAAGCTGCCGATGGTCTGCTCCTCGATGTGATCGCCCTCGCGATTGCCGTAGTAGTTGCAAACATTACTTGCTCTACTCTATTTCCTTGTTGAAAGCGCGATGCTGGCTCGAAAAAACGGAACGTTGTACCTCAAATCAGAGAGTTCCGATAGCCGACTGTTCACTCAGAAAACTGATGGTGGTTCCCACAATCGTTTCGCTCTCAACCCTGTGTGTTTGACCTACACAATCACCCGTACAATTTGGTGGCAGTGATGTTGTGTTTAAAACCATTCTGGAAGCTTGATTTCCCGCCACTGTGAGCTGTGCAAGCTTGAGAACCTTTCAGGGTGCATGCCGGATTGTCCCAAAGCGTGAATCGCATAGTCGATGAGCCGAGTTGTTTTGAAAAACTCTGCAATTCGTAGTTTTCCAAAATAAGTGCATCAAACTTCACGGGATAGTGCTCTAACTGAAGAAACGTGAGCCACATAACTCCAAGCGTTCAAACAGAACAGTTCCGTCCTCGGCCAGCATATATTTCTTCCAGTTTGTCTAACTCTCGTTTGCTTCCATGACAGCAGCAATCATTTTTCACTCGTGTGAGTTACTTCCTACCGGATATGCTTCATCGTGGTCGACGGCAGCCTAGAGCCTGAATTTCAGTTTAAATATACATATATATGTACTCAGAGCACCGTCCTTTCTACTTTTTATAGCTACATATATATGGCTATAAAAAGTAGAAAAGACGGTGCTTTGAGTGTGTTTGGATACTACATCCACAGGAACAAAGCTTGTGTCTACAACGGGTGGCGGTAGTGTGCGAGCAGGGGAGCTGTTATACACCTACACGACGCAAACAACAACAGGATACTGTGGGAGCTCCCTAGGCAGCTGTTGGAAGCCCCCACAGCAGACTGCTAACTTATTATGAGCCTTTCTTGAGGCAAATGCGCTGCGCACCGGCCTTGTTAAATTCCTACATAGGCTCACAACTATCACAATTAATTAGGGGCACTGTCAAATATTGGGGAGACTCGAACAATATCAATTTTAGCCTACATTTCCAGGGATGCTTCATTCTTCCTCAGATGCATGGTGTGCGGCCTATGGCAGCCTGACTGCCTCTTGCCAGTCCCCAGCAACAGAGTTCAACTGCAAAGCAAATCAGGCCTTAATTTCTCAAGAATAATTATCTTTGTGTGTTTATTACTTCTACTTAGTATCTCAATTTATATGTTTCGAATTATTGGACTTTGGAGGCCATTTCTGGGCTGCATTGTAGTACTGTCCACTGAACTTGTGTCTTAGGATCCCCTTCAGGTGTGATGGTAATGCTGCGAACAAGCACAGTAGTAAGCAAAGCGTTCGAAACGAATGCATGCATACGTGCAAATCAACAAATTAAGTTAAAATCACCAGCGAGCATAAATCAAGTTGCTGCGGGTACAGCGTTCCAAATGTGCAATTGTTTTATGGTGAAAATGCAGCCTCTTTATTGCTTTTCAGCTAGGCTATGCACGAGCTTTATGATTACTAGATATTTGGAAGCTTCCCTAAGCATCTTCCTGTAAAACGGTACTGTTTCTTCTGAAATGCACTCACATCTTCAATTAAGCAATGGCAGTGTATTGGGACTGGTGCCATCTTAGATCATTTAGTAGATACACGCCATCAAAAGTCTTCACAGTGGTTAGACAGATGACCCATTCATCTATGTGTTGAACTTCACGTTTCGGCCCGTCAGTTAAATAACCATCCGACAACACAAATTGCCGCAAACCTCTAACATTCGATGGAATGTCTCAAGATGCATTTGTACTTTTACTCCTTAGTTTAGATACAACTAATAGCCAAAGGCAGTTATTTGACTAAAAAGCTGCGATTAAGCTTCACGCTAGCCGTTCAGAGACGATATCTCTCGCGTGGATTGAGACAAATTCTGTCGGTGCTACATACTTAAGAGCTCCATCATGCTAATACGACACCAATATGCCATATACCTCTATTATCTTCAAATAAAGGAAGATTTCACCTATAATTGCTCAAAATGTATCTAAGGCATCTATCGAACAAATGGCTTCACATCCCACTTGAAATGCTCCAAGAATGTGCAGGACGTTTCGTGCGTGTCTTTTTATAATCATATGATGGAAAGCTTCCAATGATGGTGCGCCATTTATGCACCTTCTACAAATGAAAACTATTTGGATGATTTGAAGAGGCGCCGCTGCTGCAAATCATTCAAAGATTTTCACTGACAATGGTTTCTGGTGCCTCACGGGGTGAACGACAGTATTCTAGTCGCACTGCCAGTAGCTGCAGCAAGTCTCTTCTACCGTCCTTTGAGTGTTCAACCGCAGGTCATCAAAGAACTTTGATGAGACCATGCAGCGCACGGCACTAAACTCGAAAATACTGTTGGACCTTCGCAAACATGCATACTTCGATCAAACATGTAGCAGCTGTCAAGATTACGTCACAGGGGCATCGAAATTAACAATCAACATGACATTAAGCACTGCTTCCTTGGCGTACGCCTCCAGTATTTCAGCCGTATAGTTCTCCTCCAAATGTTTTGCCTTTGGACAACCGCAACCTTCTTTTTAGTAAGCAAAGTCCAGCTTGTCCCCTACGTGCCTTCCCTGTTCCTGTGTGAACTTGAAGATACTTCTCCAGGCCAGGAATTCTAAAGTCAGGAGACTCCATAAAGTTTTCCATTCACTAGGTGCTTGATTTCATCCTTGGTGTTTCTAAAAGATGAAGGAAATTCGTCGTTCTGGCATTTGTAATCCTCTTACACATGAATGCCACTGTATTCTACACCCTCAGCTCCTAGCCAGGCCAATGGTGCCAGCTCTCCGCTCTGTCGCTGTCATAGAGCCTAGTTTAGTACGCTTGCCACGCTGAGTGGACAGTATCTAGGCTGGTGTATCACTCGGACACCAAGATAAGTGTTTACGTATTAGGCAACGTCAGGATGGCTCTTGAGGCAGTCCCTGTTTTAACTTTACATACGTAGATATGAACTGTCTTTTCGTATTCCGTTGTCTGCATGCCGCACTCTTCTACATGAAACAAGGTCGTGAATAAACGAATGGCTACCTTGTTACAGTGATGTGCGAATACGTTTGTATATATCAGGACCAGAATCAAACATGTTGGACTCCACGCCTTCACCTATGTATGAGGGCTTACTACGAGAAACGATAAATCACCACGGCGCCACCTGTTGGTGCAAATGCACCGTAACGAAGTCCACCGCAGAAAAGTTGTTTCGTAAAGGGCGAAACAGGCGATGATTGTGTTATTGGAGCTCTTTACGGTTCCAAATGCAGCTACTTCAAATGGACTTCTGTAGGAAAGCACCCTTGTTCCGGTTCAAATCCATATGGAGATATCAAAATCTACGCGCACTTGTAAAGGCATCCACAAAAGCCTTCCACTGTGGACCTAGCGCCCTCGCCCTGGCTTGTCTCAACAATGCGTTATTCTACCCTTCTAAGTCACTGCACAGAAGGTCCTTTCGAATCATCTGCCACAGCACAGCTACCCATTTCAGCATGAGACAGCCTTCCTCTGCAGTACTAGTTATTATTGACTACCGCCTACCACGACATACCGCGGCAAAAAATGCCGAGGACGCAGACTAATTCATTGAGAAGAATCAGGTCACGCAGCAATATGCCACTGTAGAACCGCATCGAGGCTCTTGGCAGACAACAGCTGCGCATTCCGACGTTACACGCTGTCCAACAATGTTTATTGCCAAATCTGTCGTGCTGATGCTGCGCACGTTGTGTCATTTGAATCAACACTGGTGGCTCACCACAGCAAGCTCAATAGCGTGTAAAGCCAAGTAGCTACAGCATCTCACTGCGATCCCCCTTGCGTCGCTGCTGTTGTTGGTATGTTCGTGTTGATGCTCCTGCTGAGCCTACAAAGTACAACCCCTGTTAACAGCGAAGATAACAGGCACGCAAGATGCTGGAAGCGCAACGAGCAAGAAGACTGAACACCACATGGCGAATGACCACCACCGTGGTTTGTCTTGCATATCCTTGTTGTAAAGAAACCCCAGGGATAGTCCTGAAGCATAAAAAACGGAAACAACTGTACTGAAATGCTGGTCGTGCTGCTGCTTCCTGGTACGCGGTGGCGCTATGAAAGAAATGAGCATAGAACGTGCCTTGGCGCTATGAGAAAGGCGATGGTTGTCAGCGGTACAGCGTAGATGCGCAAGCGCCGCCAGTTTCTCACCGCAAATAAGGCCTCCCAGGTGACCCATCTGGTCGATATAACCGCCGTTAAGGGTGAAGGCAAAGAGGCCCATAAGCAAGAAGAACGAGATAATGTTTGTCAGCAAACGGTCCCGATGCTGCAGTCGCCGCCAGCTCAGTGCCAGTTCGGCCATCTCCACCCCCATCATCCCGAAGCCTACGATACAGGGAACAAAGAAGTTTGACGGCGCACGGAAAAGCGAACTCTCAACAAGCCCGGACCCAATTATTCAAGACACTCAGTACTCGGCATCTGGAATGAATGTCACCGTTTCTACACAGGAAACACCTGTTCGATGGCCATCCAAGAATTGCTACTTCTTCCTTTTGTTCTGTCCCACCATTGACGGCAAGTGAAAAGAACAGCGTACTCTTTTCTAGGTGTCCACGACCGTTTTCTCTACTTATTCACTGCTCTGCTGCACCCACCTTCTCCGCTAGCTAGCTATCTGTAAACTGTAAGACGCCCCTACATGGTGGTAGATGACTAGCGGTGAACAATGAGACAGAATGGCTACGAACATCCAGCCATGGCGTTCCCTGAGACGCCTGAGACGGCTGGTTGGTGGGCGCTACAACACTAAAGCGGACTGCACATGGCTACAGTTTCCAGATTTGCAGGTACGCTGAGCTCATCAGGCTTGGGGCAACAGCTTGTACACGTAATGCACAACACTAACACATACGTATTCAGAGAATCTCTCCACTTCAAGATCACATATATGCAGAGCGGACCATCAGAAATGGAGGTACAGTCAAGCGCGTTTTCGTGCATTCAAAAGGAAGGCACCCAGCATCGAGTGTAGGCAGAGTGTACGCATCTTCGCCTTCTTCAACTGTCTACCTAAGCTACCTCCTATCGACTGATCAGGTTGCTTCAAGAATACATGCAATATGGCAAGACAGGTAAAAACTTGCCTGCTGTGCTAGCACCAACCTTCACTGTACCGCAAAAAAGTGCTGCTGCTGAGAGCAGGTTGCCATAGATAGCTGCCGCGGCGTAGAGCAGAGCGAACTTCAAATAGCCATACCGCCGCTCAATGCCAAATCCCATTCGCAACTGGAAAAAGACATTGAAGGCCACGTGTAACAAATTAGCATGCAAAAAAGAAGCTGTCAACAGCCTCCAAACCTGGCCCTTGGCCACCAAAGGAGGGACATTTGCGCCAAAAGTGACCAAGATTCCAACTGCAGACCGACGCACACAAGCGTGACAAGACACACGCGCCAGTACGACCACGTAGTGACACACACTTCCAGATGAGATGTACGATGAGGAAGGAAGAAGTGATATGAAAAATACGCAGGGATGAACGGTCAGCTATCGGTGGATCTCTTGAGATAACGGAATTTCAAAGATCATGGCGAAATAGCAGCAAGAGAGCAAGCACGCAGCAACTGAGCATCTACTAGAGAACGCCATGGAAGCGTGCTGCGATTAGGAAGCTCACTAGATGGAACTAGAGGCATCTCCGAGTCTAGGGCAAGCGTTGTAATGAAAACAACCCAATCTGCTACAGAGATGAGAAGCAGCAAAGATCGCAGCCTGAAGTAGGGAAAAAGCAAGTCCAGCACCCTCAAGGCTGTCGTCCTACTAACAGAGGCAGAACCCCCACTGGAAATGCTACTGTCTGTGCTCCGCGTCTCAGCTGCGGTCACAAACAAAAGACAAATAAAACAACGGGAAACACTGATACAACCGGTTCGATGCAGCGCCAAAGTAATGTAAGGGTCCCACAACAGAGCTAATAGGCTACTGCAACACTTCGCCAGTCGACAGCAGCTCATGCTGCTGCTTTACATAATATACGTATTGAGACGCCGAACCAGCAACTCAAAGGCCGTCCCGGATGGCTCACCTCGTATAAGAGGTAAGGCCTCACCCGTTTCCGCATCTCTGTTGCGCTGCTCATCCTCCTTGCGGAGGTCTGCCAACGTGCGGACAACCATGATGCTCCTTCTCTCAATGTGAGTCTGCTGCTCGTGCAGCTGCTGCTGCGCTAGGCCAGGGGTAAACCCCCGGAGCCCGAGATGAGCTTCGGTCAGTCCAAAGGGTGCACGCCCACTACCAGTCCGGTTCTGCGGACAGGCAATATGGTTGCCCAGAGCTCAAAAGCAAACCAGAGGCACAACTCTGGAGAATTCGGTACTCAATAACTTAAAGAGTGGACCAAGGACAGGAAAATTGTGGAAATCGAGACTCGGGGAGCAGCTGTCTCGTAGCTCCTTTAAAACGCATGCTGTCCTAAGAAAATGCTCTGTAAAGTTTAAGGAACCTTAAAACTACAAATATGAGAAAATGCGCATCGAAGAAGTAGTGAGTCAATGCAGATTGGGACGCTGCTTCTGGTCAACTATGCAGCTTCACGCTCTACCAAAGCTACTGCTGTTTCACTGGAACTGTTCCCACAGCTCGAATCACCTCAAATATGAAAGTATAACTATTTGGAATGATATTTTGTGTAATTGGCTGTAATGTTCTGGATGGTTGAAGCCACTTCACCTCTTGTGTGCGCCAGGCGGTCGTTGAATCTCCCACGCATTTGACCCAGTCCGCCAAGTGCGTAAGAGTAGAGGAAGACCGAAGACTCGGTAAGCCTTGCTTAGCACAAAATAAGTGAACGCAACGTCTTGGAGAGCTCACTGTGGGTGAAAACAGTACTACAAAAGGCCATGTACGACCGGCGGCCACCGAAAATTGAAGATGGTCGAGCGCTGACGCTTTGAGGGATTGGAGAGCAGTTCACGAAGCTGCGTAGGCAAAACTTAACCCATTAAAGATTACACTTAGGCTGCCGAATTTTCCAGCCCCTGTTAACTAGGTTCAAGTGTCCTGGGTTATTAAGGGTCAATTTCAACACACCAGAGTCGTTTGCTGTTTGCAGTGCCTTGAGTTCCCTAATTTGATATATTTGCACGAATTGGCTCAAACTGGGCTCCTCAATGAACTAATACTTCTTTTGCCATCCCGGGCTGAGCACCTTTCGATGTCTATACCTTTCGTAGCTGATAGACGCCCTGCCATTGAGAAATCCGTAGCTGTGACGCAGGGTGGATGCAGACGAGATTATACAGTGAGACTAGACATAATTTTGGAAGCAATAGAGAAATGAATGGTTACCGGATATTGCACCAACAACGCAGAATTTCTCTGGCTGAAACGACGCACACACGCGGAGTTTAGGTATCTCCTTTTGTTTCCCTTACGAAGCAAAAACGACTCTTCAAGCCCTAAGAGTTTCGAATTTATACTCCTCCACGGAGAGTGCTAGATGTGACATTATGAGCAGTTCCAATGCCAGTGCGGAAGGAAGACATGGCCGTTTCAAGGGCCACTAGAAACCGAAGTTGTATTGCCTGGCACAAACTGGCCGTTCGAAGGATCCCTCCACGCAGAACTTGGGTTGTGTTGCAGACGCTGTGTGGCGCTAAAATGTATACGCCTTTGTTGAACTGCTACGTTTCCAGACTGCTTCTGCTAGTTGACAGAAGTTGGCTTAATTGGAATTGGAGTCACTACTTAAGAAAACGAAAGTGGAGAAATTTCAAAACATTGGAATCTACAAATTTTGGCCACGGTCCAAACGTGCGGGCACTCGTGCAGTTAGAGAAGGCAAGAAATGTCAGTGCATGCCTCAGGTTCGCTTGATATTTTAATGGTCTCATGAGCAATGCCGTTTTGTTGGGCAGCTCCACCAAAACGATCTGATTTTTCGCAGCCAGAGTCGAGCCTCCAGAAGCGTCGCTGATAAGAGAGGCGAAGCCCCGTGATCCAGCCGCAGAGCAAGAGAGCTTAACTTCTCTGTGGATATTGGAAGCCAAAAACTGGCGGGTGCCGCTTTTTACAAGGTCGAGAGCTTGGGCTGTTCGTTTGGATAGGCATAGCCAGGGACATCACAGTGTCGTCACTTTCAACACTCCGATCGCATATTGGTTTTGTGGCTAACTGAATGAGCAGCTCTTGCATGCTTACGATGCGGCAACTCACGTAGGCCTAAAGAAAAGGGTGGTTGCCCCAAGGCTATAGCACATCTCTGCGAACCTTACCTACAGGTAATAACAGCAGAGCATTACCTGCGGACAATAGCATACCACTGCAACTTCCGGTGCACTTCCGGCGCTGGGTGGAAGACCGAGGACAGGATGAAACAAGAAGCTTGTACCTCCTGCTTAACCGGAGGCTAGATTTTATTGTCTCGAAGATACTAATGTTGCGCCCAAACTCAATTCAGCCTAAGTGACGCAAGGTGTTCCCTGCAGAAGGTAAAGAAGCAGGGATAAATCCGTATTACCTTGGCTTCGTAGAAAGCCCAAAAAAATGCTTAGAATGTAGAATGCTTTGCGAACAACCACCTTCCAGGAACATTGAACCCTTTCACCGCAATTCGAAAGCCAGAAATGCCATTTTCGGCTTTTGACCAGATCGTCAATGCATAAATGAAAGAGGAGAGCCCAAAACCTTCAGTTCCTTAGCTGCGTTCCGAGAGAACGGGCAAGTACTTCGAAGTGGACACTACTTATTGAAAGGCCACAAATATAAGCGCAGCGTGCTATGCGGGGACGCTGCATGCACGTTTTGAAGCGTGCAGCGACCCCGCATAGCACATTGCGCTTATATTTGTTTAAAAAAATGCTCAGCTACAATAGCTGGCCGCTGAAAACAGAAAGGGATGCAGCGCTAAAGGCATCTGCTGCGGACCCTCACGTGTCGTAGTGCTCCTGTACAAACACAGAGCATAGCAGGCTTCCCTCATCAAGAACGTTGGCGTAAATGTGCCGCCAGTCAGCCTACCCATTACCAAGTGCTTCCAAAGAACAAGTCCGCATTGTGACCGTTTCCATATGATGGGAAGTCGCCGCGCGTTGATACCGCTGCAGCTTGGCAGGAAATTGAAGATGAGAAGCTGAACTGTTTGACGGACCAGTTGAACGGCAAGCCTTTCCAAAATAGTCCTAGCCTTGGCAAAATTGCAAGCTTAATCCGCCTGAAGAATAGCTGGAGCACATTGGCGTAGCTAACAGCTAGCATGAACGTGACACCCCACATTGCCATTGAGGCTAAATGAGGGCAACCGCAACAGCTAGTATGTCCTGCGCTGAATCTTCCAGGTGGTTGGCTGGCCTCAGTTGAAGGACTTCTTCGGCTTCCTCAACATTCAGGACGAGTCGAGAAAGGACACCGTCAACATTCCAGTCGGTAACCCAAGAACCAAGAACCTGGGGGGTAAGGGTGTTTGCTTCTCTGTCCATAGTTGCCCTGCCGAGGAACTTCAAGAACACTGAAACTGAAAACTCTTTGCTATTGGGATGCTTGATTATCGAGTCACTTTGCAAAGACAGCGCGAATCTCTGAAAACCGGAGTGGACCAGTCGATCATTTTCTAGCTGCAACGTCTCCGCTTTAACAGAGGCAGCCAGTCTTTCTGCAAGAACTCTAGGGACTGTCCCTGCTTCTTCAAGCGCTTTGCTGGGGACATGAAAAGGAAACCCTCTCAGCATTCCCGTAAAGTCTTCAAAGGTGACTTGGTCCTTAGCACGTCTAAGAATGTCTGGCCGAGGCAGGGGAGCCGGTTCTCTGCCAAGAAGCTGTGAGCCGATACCCCAAGTGTCGCACAGCTTCTCAATTTCACAAAGGAGCCAAAGGCGCCTTAAGGCTGCTTCCAGTACAGTTCGAACAAGGAATGCATCCATCACAGCATCCTCGTTAGGGTCACTGGTGAAATCCTGGAGGCCGAGAGCTTTCTCTGCCGAGTGTCCATGCTGCTGCAAGCACAGTAAGGGATCCGCCACAGCACCTCCAGAATTTGGCATGTAGTTTTTCTTAAATGCCGCCTGCACAGCTCTAGATGATGCACTCCATGCCAGCTCAAGTGCCTTCATCGCCGAAGTAAGAGATCTCAATTCTGCAAGCCCCTTTTCGCGAACATCGGATGCCTTATCTCCCACAGCACTACCGTCTTCCGTCTGATTCTCCTGCCCCAGCATCTCACCTTCTACTGGAACATGCTCAGTAGAGGAGCTTAGTTCTTGCTTTCCTTTCCAAGAAGGAACTCCAAATGGTAAGAGGACCTGAGAAATGGCAGCGTTTGCACTGGGACCTTGGGCACCGATAAGTGAGGTTTCCTCTGCTGGAGAAGCACTCCTACGGGAACGTATCTGCTCGTAAAGAGCAGACTTGTTAGAGTGCTCGATTGCTTCTTTACTGGGATGTTGATTTCGCTGAATCCATTTGCCGTAAAAGAGAGCACCCCCAAACGCCCCAACTAGGACACCTGCTAACAGAAAGCTTGCAAACAGCGCGAACGACATATTAACTGCACCCCTGGAGGACAACCCTATGCTCTGTGAGCTTGACAATAAAGCGCCTGGAAGCGCTGTTTTCTCTTCAAAACCGAAGTCTTCACATGGCGACCGTTCCCCGCATTTGGGGGTACTACGACTGTCGCCTTCACCCACTGCGATCATGTGAAACCCCTGATTATCACCAAGTGCCTCTTTCCGCATTTTTGTGTGGTGTTAATTTGTTCAGCCCGAAACCACTTCCAGGGAAGCTCCCTCAGCTCCTGTAACACCGCGCTACTGCGGAAGGCGTGAGCGGTTCCTGGCTTCCCAGAGAGCTAAACAGTATCTAAAAGCCCCCCATGCCAGGTGTTGCCCCTGAAACGCAAAATATATAGTTATTTTTTTGACATACAGAGACAGTGAGGGGAGTTAGTGGAAAGGGCTACGCTGTTGGTCCAGTGACGGGACCGCAGACGATCGATCAGAGAGCGTCCCCAAGCAGATAACAGCCAGTTTGCGCTATTGCGTGAGTGCTGATGAACGCAAACGCGTGCCTGCTTGCCACTTCTGTACAAATTTTGTCTTTGGGAATAGGGTTGTGAGCGTTCGATAACGTATGTCGTTTGAATACCAAGATACACTGTGGGATCGGCCGGCTCCTCTCTTTA